ACCCTGTCTTTTAAAGAGTCTTGTACTTGTAATTTAGACCTCCGCAAACATGTTAATGCGATTCTTGTATTAGTTCATCCTTTCATATTTGTTGTTGTTTGAGTTTGTTTACAGCATGCACTCTGAACAGAAAACTAATTTTAAACATATTTTGCAAATCTATTCGCAATACTTTAGAGTGTTCACTTGACAGCATCGTAGTATAGTATGATGTCCAATATTACCATAGAAATCTAAATGCTCAAATTGTATGGTGATAACTATACATTTTTTTTGCACAATAGTGTATTGTTATATTTTCTTATCCTTGTTTCCTTTGTTGACAACAGGAAGTCATACAATGGCCTTGCTGGAAAAGCTGGACCCCGCAAGTATCTACCTGGTGAAGATCTCTGCCTCAAACCAGGTTGGTGATGGACCATTCTCCAACCCAGTGGAGCTGGCTCTGAAGAGAGGAAGTGCACATCGAAGCAAGAACCCCAGGCACTCAGACAGCTTTCCAGACACCACGGGTAAGGGAATGAATGTGTGTTAGGTTTATTTGAACAAAAAGCAGCGTCATTTGCAAAATTGTATGCAAGTTTAAGATGTACAATTGCTATATTTCTAGATTTGCAGTGGTATAGACATAGGAAGTTGTACATCATTTCAGGAATTGTAGTAGTAGAAGCATTACCTAACTAATACTGAAGCACCAGTATTTTTGTTTAAGTACAGATAAGTTATGCATTTCATATTTATATCAGAATAGAAATAATTACATCCAGTGGCCGCATCACTGCAGATGCTGCATTGATGTGCCTGTCATTCTCATGCTCTATCCTCTCCTCACTTGTGAACAAGACCCTGAGATGCTTGAACTCCTCCAGATGAGGCAGGGATTCTCCACCCACCTGGAGAAGGAAAGCCACCTTTTAATCTGCAAATAGCAGCCTAGGGTGTCCTGGTGCCACATGCACTGATGGACACCCTTGTGCTTGAACATGGTGTTTGTTATTGACAAGCTGTGACTAGCACCAAAGTCCAATAACAGAACACTGCAAAGGTTCAGATCAGGGAGGCCGTTCTTCCCAGTTACCTCTCTCCAGGTGTCTCTGTCATAAGCAGGCCCGCACCAGCCTGCCACTGCTCCCTCCAGGCAACGCTAGAGAAATGGAGAGTTCAGCTGTCCTCCATTTCTCTGACGAAATAATTCAAGCTTTTATAGTGTCTAAGTTTATTCTTTCTTTTCTGCCTATGTTCTAGTGTATTCTGATGGTCTCTACCACATTGACCAGAAGTCCATGACAGGGATCATTGTTGGAGTTAGCATCGCTTTGGCCTGTATCATTATGTGTGCCCTCATTCTGATCAGCAAAGGCAGACCAAGGTACAGAAACAACATCCTAATAGTATTCACATTGTTAATACTTTTATTCTTATATGGCTTTTGTTCATGTCAATTAGAAAAATATCTGGCCACAAAATGATCGCTGTTGGGAACCCTGATGTATTGAGACCTGGACTCTCTCTCCCAGCTGAGCGTCATGTGGAAAATGTAGAAGCTTTGATTCCAATGATGCGTGACCATTTTATTGATGCAAAGGTAAGAATCGGTTATATTTATTATCATGTTCTGAAAAATGTCTGAATTCAAACATAGAAAAACATTAACATGACTACAGCAGTACATACTGCAGTTGCACATAATGAGGTGAGGTTAAACAGTTTTGTTTGTTTTTTTTGTTCAAAAACATTTTCACCAGAAGTAAGTAAGTAAGTGTCTAATTGTCTTAAAGCTAATCATATGTATATTTCTTTGAAGGGTGGATCCACTATAATTATAAATAGTGCTGGTCCAGTCAACGATAAGAACCAAAGTAAGAGATGGCTACTCTTCAGCAAAGAGAGAAACAACACCACTGAGAACGATGTAAATACAGTTTTAACTATAAGAATTTTGAAATATTTTTCAAAAAACAAATGTCTCATTGGGAACTGCCTCTAGATAATGAACATTACCTTTTTATAGGCTGAGAGCAGAGCCAGTTTGTATGAAGCTGGTAAAACCGTCCTCACATATGAAGACCGCCTGGGGGCAGCGCCACTCCCTCCCTCATCTCGAGAGATCATCTATGGCCCACTCCACTCAGAGAGCTCTCACTCCAGCGAAGGCAGCCAGGAAACAGGAGACTCTGGACACTACTCTAATGAAGCCAGCAGCGAAGAGATGAGCAACCCTTCTACCTCCCAAAGCTCCAGGCCCGAATCTTTTGGCCCAGAAGACAACGCTCCTACTGTCTCCAAACTAAAACAGTCGTTTGAAGTAGAAAACGAGGAAATGATTGGATGCCACAAACATCACTCCACCTCTGATGCCCCCCATTGCGACGCAGAGGAACCCCATCCCACCCAGCACTTGTCCCAAGCTGTCGACTCTTGACAACAACCAGCCTTGATTTCCAAATTACCAGAGTTATGCTACTAATTCTTCCTTGGTCGCTTCCCAAGTTGAGCCTGTCTATCATTTCCTGTGGCAGAAACGGTCAGGAAGCTAAAGCTGCTGCAATGGGGGAAAGTGCATGTACTCCGGATCTACCTCAGGACATTGTATGAATGTTCGGTACAGCTTTTATTTCCATTTGTTTTCTACCTGTTTGTCTGTGTTTGGTCATTGTCCAAAACCAAAGCTCACCTATGATGAATGTCAAAAAGAATGTACTGTTTGACGCCGATCAGGCATAACAATATGACAACCTGCTTTTAGTCCTTCCTTAGATCATCAAGAGCATCACAATTTTCCTTTGATGCTTGCTCGTATCCCATCGAATAAGAATTTCCTGGGTCAAAAGTTTGTTATTTCTGTCATTTGTAGTCATAATGTTATGCCTGATCTCATATATTTAATTTTTTGGGCCACTGGAACAAGAGGTGGAGTGGAGCTCTTAAGACTGTTTATCTACCTCACTGTTTTTTGTATGCTACTACCTCCTTTTTACCATATTTTGTGCAGTATTATTATCTCCAACTCAGGGACAAGGTAATTCATTTTTACATTGTCTTTCTACCCCCAGAGGTCGCTAACATTTCCAAAGAGGTCTTCCTTAATTTTTGACTGTCCCAGCTTTAATTCAACGGTTGGAAGAGCTTTTGTTTCATATTATTTCTCTTTTGGTGTATGTTGTGGGAAAAATATACAAGTGCATTAGATGTTGCCAGACTATTTTGAGCTTTAAAAATTATATTTTATAGTTTGGCATTTCCAGTGCACTACTTTAAAGCTTTAACATGGCCTTAATATTGAAAGGTCTTCGAAAGCGGAGATCCAAAGACAGGAAGAATTGTACCAAATGATACCTTAGATATTTTAAGGCAACCAAAAAGAAGATTGTGGGTTTGTACGTTTGCCAAATATTGTTCTAATTTTTTGCCAAATTATGTACATTTTTCATAATAGTTTAGGTGCTTTACTTCAGTCTATTTTTGAATGCTTTATTCTGGTGAAAGCTTTAGCACAGGTCTTCGCGGCTTGTGCCCCATTTGCCTTTGAGACCATTTGCTAAGCGCAGAGGTGATGCCGATGCTATTATCCAAAGAGTTGTCTGCTTCCTCATACGGTTAAGGCTTTTCATTCAGTCTTTTATTGAAACAGGGTTAACATAAGATACTGACAACCGCTCGATTGCAGATGATGTTATATATTTGTTTTGGAGAGTCATCTGTGATTCTTGAGCATTTTTATCGTAATGGGGGAAGAATTCTTTATTTCTCCATGTTATTTGTCCAGGTGTGACAATGAAGGATTCTGACTATCAAAATGGAAAACCCTATGTGTGAACAGCAACATAATCAATTTTATAGCTTTGTAATACAAATAATCCTAACCAAAGAAATGTAAAAAATATTTAGCCATTTTCTTTGGTTTTCTCATTGTTCTTCATTTAAAATTGAGTTTTAAATGATTATTTGGTTTGTTACTTTTATAAGGCATAGGCGATTAAGGCTTGAGATATCATAAGCTGTTCTGCTGTATTTGTTCACCATATTTTTACCTGAATGAAACTTAGGTTGCAAAGAAAATTTTGATTTTTGTTTTAGTTTGCTATTGTGAACAGAAAGTTTCCAATTTTTTATATGGCTTTTTCTAAATTATTTGATTAGTCCCATATTGTGTCTGTGATTGCTTATTGTTTCCCTCATGTGAATTTGCTGACTTACCTCAGGTGCCAAAAATGTAGACGTAGAATGTAGACTTAACTGTTTTTATTTAAGTTATGATTTCTGCTTTTGAAACCAAATACATCTTGATGCAAGTTTGCAACAGGTTATTTTAAGAGTTGTTATGTTGCAACAGACTTTTTGATACTCTCAAGATTATCACAAATATTAGAAAATAAAATTGTCTTGGAAAAATAACTGGTTTTACTGTTTTCTGTGAGTCCAAACACCAAACACAATGTTGACATAAACACAACGACAACGGCATGAAAATATTTATGTAATATTTACCTTTATTTAACCAAGAAAGTCATACTGAGATTAAAAATTATCTTTTTCAGGAAGTCTTAGGCCTATTTTATATGTTTTTAAAAATAGGGGAAACCCCTTGAAACCAGAGCAAGCCACTGCAGTCTTTGAGACATCTCTGCTAGGCCTACTACTACTGTAGTTTAGGAAACACCTGTCACACAGATGAACCATGATGGGTGGCAGTAATATTCTGCTGTATATGGATAAGTGCAGTAGTGATAAGGAAAATGTATTTTATGTTTTATGCTATTATAGACTAATATTTATTATTATCTGCAATTAAACTGGGAATCTGCCACCAGAATATATTTAGCTTAGCCACAATTGCCCATGCTGTCTTGGTTAATGAAAGATAATTTAATTCTGAATTCTATCAGCTATTGCCTGCTATAAATACCAATAAGTTCTCACCGTTATAAAATTAATACTACTGATGTAGTTTTCACCCTCTCCAGCAGATGGCGACCGTACTGTAGTGAGCGCTTCGACTGTCACAATAGTTGTGGCTGAAGAAGCGCACGGGGCGGTCTTGTTTGTGTCGGTGCCACACGCAGCACATCTGCGGCCAAAATGCGCATCGAAAAGTGCTATTTCTGTTCGGGACCGGTGTATCCTGGACATGGAGTCATGTTTGTACGAAACGACTGTAAGGTACGATCGTTTTTTTAACCACAAACTGATGTCTTACTCGAGCTATAGTGCGGAAGCTGTTTGGGTTTTGTGCTAGCTTGTTAGCCCTTTTCTCTCACGTGGAATGGATAGGAGGTGGATCATGCCTTAAAATTGTACCTGGAGATGGTGCACGGTCTGTGACAGCGATCTGCAGATACATTTTGTATGGTCTGGTTTGAGACCTTCGCTTCTTTTCATTTTAAGTGAGCTTTTCTGTCTGTGGGCATTTAATTAGGCCCTGTTCAGCGGTTAGTCTTAATCGACAGCGACCTCTGATGGTGCTTTGTTGACATGCATGTTTAAATGGCTATGTTGATCTTGTAAAATATTTATTGTTTGCCCTTTTTATAGGCATTCAGGTTTTGTCGATCTAAATGCGTAAAGAACTTCAAAAAGAAGCGTAACCCTAGAAAAACAAGGTGGACCAAAGCTTTCAGAAAGGCATCAGGAAAAGAGCTGACAGTGGTGGGTTACTGACTCTGTTTTGTTTATCCTTTATAATAATATCAGCAACAGCATTGCTACGTATTGTTTTGACTACACTGTTTGTAATATGTGATTTATAATCACATTTGTATGTTGCAGGACAACTGTTTAGAATTTGAAAAACGCAGAAATACTCCTGTTAAATACAACAGAGAACTGTGGGACAAGACAGGTAATTTGTTATTTTCATATACCATTTATTGCTTAAGACAAATAAGTCAAGAATTACTGATTCATTATTTCTTTTATATTTTTTTCCAGTTCAAGCAATGAAGAAAGTGGAAGAAATAAAACAGAAACGACAGGCAAGATTTATCATGAACAGGTAGGCATCAGCACTCCATCTGGTCTGTGTAGTTCTGTTTGTATGCTTAATATACATAGAGATGTGACACCTGTATAATTACATAAACAAGAGCCACGGAAGTGTCCTCAAGTGGCGTACTATTAAAAATGTATGCATTTATGAAGTGCTTGTTAGATGTTAGATGCCAGTTTTCTTACAATTGTTTATTCAGCACCAAAAACTTCCCTTTAAATTGTAGTGGCTCTCCTTGTCACCTTATCAACAAATGTCATCTCTGATGGTCAAAATATACTATATGCATACTAATACCATCATATTTTCTTTTTTTAAGATTAAAGAAGGGCAAGCAATTGGAAAAGGAAGAAGCCATCAACGAAGTCAAGAAAAATATCCATCTTATCAGAGCTCCACATGCAGGTAAAATTTATGGTATTTTTGTTTTGGCAACTGATCATGTGCCAGGTATGTATTTGCTTCATAGCTTCTGTTCTTTTTACAGGAAAAGCCAAACAAATGGAAGAAAAGATGGTGCAAAAATTACAAGCAGATGTCGACATGGAAGATTAAGATTTATTATCAGATGAACACAACAAATTTGAATAAAGATGTTATTGTGTTGAACTGTAGCATATAGATACAGTAACACATACTGTACAGTTTTCATTATTTCATGCATTTGTCTTATGATAATACTTTATTTTCAGTTACATTTTGGTGATCTTTACTCATTTAGATCTATCTTAATGCAAGGTTTATTGTCTTGTACAAACTTATTAAATGTCTCAAATAGAAATGTTACTGTGTACCATTATTTATAATCAATTATCAATGAGTTTTTGAATATCTTTAGTTTTCATTCATTTGACACTGCTGCTGTGTCCTTCAGTTGGTTCGTCTTAGAGGCTGTTACAGGAAAACATTTCATGTCCTGAGCATCTTACATCTGTATTTAGTCAATGGTTCATACATATTGGATTTTTTTTTCTAAACCTGAGTTCTGTCTGGATCCATATTGAGTACTGGATATTATGAAAAAGGTTATGCTGAAATCCATTAGGCCAACTCCTGGCACCCATCAAAGTGAATTCGTCCACTTAAATTTATGTGTAGCTTTTTGAAATGTATAATTGTAATGCAGTGAATTGAGTTGTAAATCAGAGTATGGAAAAAAAGATTAGGTTCAAAGTTCCTAATATCTTCGTTGATGAGCCAATCACTTACCTGCCGAGCCACACCCTTTTACCAACAGAAAGTAGAAGAGACTGGCTGATTAGGGAAGCCAGTCTTTAAAACGCAGGGTTGAGCGTTCATCGTGCGCTCTGTGATCGGCTGAGCGGCCTGGTACTTGAGCTTCCGTTCCTGCCCGGAGCTCACTTCACCCGCCGAGTCGGAGCCCACAGCCGAACCGCAGCCGCTGTCAGAGCCACCATCCCCGAGGAGCAGGAGGACGAGACCCGGGACACATCAGGAGCCAGCACGGGGAGCAAACACAGCCATGTCCGGAGAAGAAGAATCAATGACCGTGGAGGAGCAGCAGGTAACACATAATACAATATCTTGGAGGTTTTGAGCAAATGTGCAACTGTCTCAATGTTGACACACAGTTAGCGGCTAGCGGCTAATCGAAAACGCTACCGCCTCTGCCGCCAACTAATTAGGTTTGAGCTCATTAGCCACAATTGTTCATGATGCATTGAGAGCACACGGTTTGTACACTTTTGATCACCTCGGGGAAATCACTTGACTTTATTTATACGTTTAATGTTATAGTTTATGTACTGGTCTTTTGTTCTTTTGTATGAGAACCTAATGCTAACTATGCAAACATTAGCGTCGACTGTTCCTCTGGTAGCGACGCCTGCGCATGATGTCAAAGCCCAAATCGGATGCCTACTGCGTTTTACGAGCATTTTCATTGTGTTTTATACGATTTTCTTGGAGCGTCTACTATTTTTATTCTGTTCAATCGATAGGAAGTCAACGACAAAGTGGTCAGCCCAGAGAAAGCTGAGGAGGCCAAGCTGAAAGCCAGGTATCCCAATCTAGGGGCCAAGCCTGGGGGTTCGGATCTGCTCAGGAAACGACTACAGAAGGGGGTATGTTTACAGTCATTGTCCTGTTAATCTCTTTGTGAACCAAGTTTTCATGTGAAGATAACTCTGATTTGTCTGTTTTTGATCTAGCAAAAGTATTTTGACTCTGGTGACTACAACATGGCCAAGGCAAAGATGAAGAACAAGCAGTTGCCGTTGGCCCCAGTGGAGAAGACCGAGATTACAGGAGGACACATCCCCACACCTCAGGACCTGCCTCAAAGAAAGACCTCTATTGTAACGAGCAAACTGGCTGGTTAAGCTTTTATGTCCACACTGTTATGTTATCATTCCAACTCATGTTTAAATTTAAAGTCGTTTACATGTTTTGTTCAATGTGTGTCACTTTTGTATGTACTATCTAAAAGAACAGCTAATGCCCAGAGCCAAAATACTTGAGAAATATTGGCAACTTCTAAAAAGTGCTGATAAAACTATGATGGTGACCGCTGAAAACACTTGAAAAATTGCATGGAGAAAACTTGTCAGAATTACACTTAATGATATGTGCCTCCACTGGGCTCTGCAAACGCAAAGACAAGGTTAAGGGGCCGCTACCTCCAAACACAGTAAAAGTATCTTGATGTAGTTTGCATGCTCTTGAAGGATTTATGGACATTCAAAGCGCTATTCATTTATTCCTTTGTTTTTATTTTTTGTTCAGTAGAGCCGTTTGAAACAGCACTGCAGGTAAAACTAGTCAAAAACACTTTGTAGCCAGTTGTACTTCACTTAGTACTAACATCAGCTGCTCCTTTTGACCTCTAAATGGCCTTAAAATTACACTTGTTCCTCTTGAGCAATATTTGCTCCCACATTTCAGTTGTGAAACTTGCTTGATGATATGTCTCACTGTCTGACTGGAATCATTTAGGATTTTATGGAAGAATTCATGTCTGGAGTGTGCATGTGCAGTTACACTGTGCCATTTGTTTTGTAAATAAAATAGTTTTGCATAATATCTTATAAGTACACTTGATTGTCTGGAATTAATTTCTGCTCCCGCTGGTTAAAAGGTTTCACTACCCAAAAAGCCTAAAGCACAAACACTAAGCCTATAATAAGTATAGTTGATAACTGTTCATCTCATTGGTTCTAAGTTAAGAAGTGCTAAAATCATCACTTGTTTATTGAGCACCCTCTTGGGAACTTGAAATTTTTTTCGTAGTGAATGATACAAGAATATGGCAGCTACTGTATGAAATTGTATTTTAATTCAGAACAAAACATTCCTAAAATTTCTTTCCTTTAAATCAATTTGACTACAATATTAGAAATGTGCACTCACAATTTTAAGACTTACGAATTGATCACAAAGTAAAAATAAAATTACATTTTACTTTCATTTGAGCTCAGACATTATTAGACAATAAAACAATTTTCTGCAGTTTCCTGACACAAGTCCATATTCTGTGACTATTTTGTTTTATGCCACCTCAGGTGTAGAATTCAGGGCACCTCCACCACTCCCAGTAGTCTAAAAGTTTCATTACAAAGCATTTCCTTTTTGAATATTAGTGCTGCATCCTTTTTTGTCCAGCTGCAATAGGCACTTGAGTTCCAGTGAGAGACAGGGCACATCCCGGAGGTGGATTTGGGCTTGTTTTATCCTGTCCTGATGCATTCAGGTGTACTTTTTTGTTGTCAGCTCGTGGTATGGTTTGCCCACTGATCGTCAGGGTTTCCCGATTCCCCTGTAGCTGCTGAATTTTGAGTTGAAGTTGGGTGTTTTCACGCCGCATGGCATCCCTGCGCCTCCTCAGAACCTCCCGCTGCAGGAGAGCTGAATTCTGACGGGCGTTGAATAAATTTAGCTGTGGGTACTCCCAGGACTGATGGAAAAGAGACATATTAGTCAAACATATCTCCCCTCTCTCTGATCTGAAAAGGTCTTCAAAAAGGTTCGGGTCAAATGCTGTACTCCAGCATTAGACTTAGATAAACTTTATTGATTCATCAGGGAAATTATTTGTACAAATCTTTAAATAAAAAATCTGCATCTCCAAGTATCACTACAAACAACTACTTATGTTCTCAGCTGGACTGTATGGCATTAAACATACATTTCTTCATGGCTGTGACACTGCTCACACTAAGAATGCATGTTTTGCAAGTTGTAATTGAATAGAAATGATAGAAACATTTAATTCCCTTCTATGGAACATTCCAGCGAAAGTGATAACATCTCCATGAAGACATGGAGAGCAGTGAAGCATAAACTGTGAAACAAAAAAAAATTACCACTAAACCAATAATATATTATTTACTTATTCGTACAATTTTCCTTAAAATTTCAGTGATTCTCACTGATAGGAAAAAAAGTACATTTCATGTGTGGTTGATGCTTTTGAATTTGTATCTAATATATTTTGCAAAGTATCATTGTAGGTTATTGTAGAGACAGACTAACAGCCGTATTTTAGTGTATCATAAAACACTATAGCTTCTAATTGAACACCTCTCTACATTGGTGTTTGTAATCAGCATGTTGATGTTCTCACCTCTTGATCTTCACCCTCTTCTGCCAGTTCATTTTCAGGTGGAGTGTTCATCTCTTCTGTGATCAGCAGTTTGTCCTCCAGCTTCTTACACAGTTTAGCTAGACGTAATACTCTCTCACCCTGAAATATGCACATTATGTAATGTTGTAAATCAGTGGCTCTCAAACCTGTCACACCTAAGAAAAAATGTGATATTTTGAATGCCATCATCTAAACCATAACTATTCTCAGTCTAAACTAAGGCAAAACTAGGTCTAAAATAGGACCAACATTGCTAGAACTATCCCTAAGGAGGACAAAATGTGGATTAAATAAAGTTCAAAACAAGCAAATATTTGAACTGCTAAGGAATCTGTATGCCACCAGGAGCTTGTGTGTGTACCACAGTTTGAGAACCACTGGTGTACAATGGTTTGAGGTTTTATTGTATTGTATAATATTTTCCACTTCAAGGGAAATAGAGAAATGTTTTGGATACATTTACACGGACAGTAGAATTCACACAACTAGAGCAGCTAATATCAAATGTCTGATCTGATTTTAAAATAATTTTTCAATGCAGTATTTAACATGTTCTTTTTAATTTTTTATCTTTGCCACATTAGTTTGGCCTTGAATTTTTTTGCATATTTTCCTTGTGAAAAATACAATTCTATAATCTGATCACTCCAGAAATCATATAATGTTCAGATTTTGGGTGTGCATGTAAATATAGCCAGTGTAGAAAGATTGTAATTACCGTGTTGACAACATTGAGTAGTTTCTTTGCTGCTTTGTCATTGCTCACAGAGAGCACAGTGAGGCGTTTTCTGCTTTTGCTGCGTTCCTGCTCCATCTGTGCCCTGAGAGTTTGGATGCCCTCAGTGGTCACACTCAGCTGGTGCTCAACCTCGGACAGTCCGTTATCACCGGTGCGGAGCGAAGTTTGCAAATCAAGTAACTTTTTCTGGTGAATAAACAATAAAATAAAATGTATATTAGAAAATAATAGAAAATACAAGTATATGCAATCATCAAATCAAACATGTCAAATGTACACATTCAAAATATATATTAACTTTAGAACATTATCTTCATATTGTCCGCTCTTTGGGCCTGAGCATAATTTGTCTTATAAATGATAGAAATAAGGACATTACTTTCTATTTTTACAATTACCTTTATATTAGTATATGTGAATAAATTCTAAATATCAATACTTTAAATACCAATTGCTGTAATTTATAGTGTTGAGATTGTTCTAAAATGCACAATACTTTTATTATTATATTTTAAAAATTACAAATGGACTTTTGTCATAAAAATGGAACAGTTACAAACACATAACCCAAAAAAGCTGGTATCGATATAGACATGTGCTGACTTTCTTTGATGAGTCATTTTAAGGTATGGCATATATAATTTTTAGACAAGTTCTGATGTGTTCCTCACCTGTAAACGCTGTATTTCTCTACTGCTCCGCTCAATGGACTCGGTGGACTCTTGGTTTTCTTTGATGAGAGTCTCCAGCTCTTGGCACCTGGCACTGTGCTGCTGCATCAGTTGCTGGTGCTCCCTCCTCCTCTCCTCGGGGATCTTCTCTAATTTGCTTACCTATGAGATTAATTAATGTAACACCACTAACAGCCACTAGATGGTGCTGAGTCAAAACTGGACACCCCTAGTGTGAGGGCTGCTCAGTGTTTAAAGTCTTTAGGTTTAGATTGCAAAGCAGTATTGTAATTTACCTTGTCCAAGAACAGGTTCTCATAGAAGTCCATGGCCTGTCTGTACACGGCAGCGATCTCATTCATCATCTCATCATAGTTGTGTTGAATCAGTAAAGAATTGTCATCAATGTCCTGATGTTGTTGCTGAATTTCAGCTGTAATTCGCTTCCTGAAAGATTTTGAATTATTAATATTTTTGCAAAAAGTTCAAAATCAAATTATATTTACAGACATTGTGATTTGGATTGAAAACCAGTAGCATGTATGTATCTATATAATACATTTGCTAGGTGAGCGCCCATCATTGGTTATTAAATTTATTATTAAAACACATTTCACCTCCACACCAGCATTATTTGCAATGGTCTAAAGCTTGATTTTAAAAAATGCACTTCATGTGACCATAAGGGAGATAGCTGGATTAATGGGAAAACAAAAAGGAATAAAACAGGACTATGCCAAGAGTTCATAAAAAGGTTGTAGTAATCTCTATTTCTAACAGAAGTGTAATGTTTTTGATGGATTGTTTACCTCTGTGTTGTGTACTGGTCCTGGATTGTCTCCATGGCACTCTCCCATCCCTGCTCCAGGTAGTCCATTCGTTTCCTCTGCAGCTCCAGCAGTGTCTGGATCTTCTGCAGGTGGGAGCGGTGCAGCTGGGCCGACTGGCTCTCAGCCTCAGACACATTCACCTCCAGGTTCTATACAAAGTCAGGTTCACAAATGAGAATCAGGACAGACAATATAATACAACATGCCAGTGGTTCTCAAGCCTCCATAGAAACCACATAGAAAAGAATAGTCTTCTGAGTATCATAGATCTAAATCAAGTCTACTAGTATAACAGGAGTCAGACTATTGTATAGCAGATCTGAACTAGGGCTGCACCTCAAAGGAGAAGAAAAGTATGTGTACCACTCAAACAAGCTGAAGTATTAGAATAAATGTAATGATTTTCTTTTACTTATATTAGCTGACATTCTACTGACACTATACTTGATATTTCCCGACAAATCCATGTAGTAGTACAGCCCTTTATAAATGAAATGGAATTTATGGGATTTGTCAAATTTTTCATAATAATCAAATTTTCTTTTAAAACCATAAATTGCAAACTTATTACAGTTTCCACAGAGGTATTACCCAAACCAAGAATAGTAAACACTGTTTAAAAACCACTTAGCAGGTATTGGCTTACCTTGATAATGCTGTCCAGTAGGTCCACTTGCCTCTCAAAGTTCTGCTGTAGAACATCCAGATCCTTGTGGATTTCTGTGGATTTCTTCTGACGCAGGATGGACCTCCAGCCATCATTCAGCTTCAGCAGATTCAGAGCACTATTTTTCTCATCGTCCTGGAGCTTGTCCTGGAAAAAAATAAACATTTCAGTGTGGCTCATTTTGGATCTAGTTTCTTTTTTGACAGTATTTTCATATCAGGGTAGTATTCTTTTTTTAACTGAGAGAAATATATTATTCCACAACAAGTCAGGGCAATGAAAGGAAATATTTTGTAAAAAGATATTTTCTTTTATGCATAGTTTGTAAAAAGAAAAAAAAAGGGTATTTGTAACATTACCCACTCCTATGTGACATTCCTTATATGATGCCACTTATATGTGTGCAAAGATAAACTTTTAGAGAGCTTCAATACAATAAAGTTGCAGTAGTAGCAGTAGCAGTGTGTTACCCTGAGGAAGTGTGTGAGTATCTCTTCTTTCTTGCGGGCCAGCTCGGCCTCAGCCTGAGCCCTCTGCTGCAGGTACAGAGGTCTGTCCTCCTCTGACGTCACTGCCTTCCTGGCTCTGTTTCTCTTCTCTCTCGGCATCACGATCAAGTCACCTTTGAACTGTCCAAATAGCACCACTCTATATCAGGTTAAAGGTCATCATGCAAACGGTTTCCAAAGTTATTCTCCAATTTAAATGCTAAATGGAATACTTGACTCTCAGCTCTGGACTGTAACTGCCAGCAGAATTTTTATATTTGGCATGAGAGACCTATTAAGTAATGCTGGCTTGGCCAAGAGCGGATACACTGACTTAAAGTGGCCTATATTTTACAAAAAATAGCATTTATAATCATTGGTCTACCCTAAAAGACTCCTTGCAGTAAATTTGAACTGACATGCAAAGACAGGTGGAAATGTATATTTTAACTTAAATTACCTACAATAGATCTTGTGCTGTTTCGCGCTGGATCTTGAGATTCTCTCCTGGGTTCTGTTGTTAGTCTCCGTGGAAACGACGTTAGCGACGTCTCCTTTGAAGTTGCATTTTCCTCGAGTGATCACTAGGGGCCGACAATATGCAACTATCTCCGTCCTTTTCCCCCATTTATCTGAGCAGCACAAATCCCAGAGGCAAAGACACACAGAACTGTGCTATAATGGTGCTTTTATTACATTATCTGTCTTACTGTTGTTTAGTCTAACTGTTTTAGTTTCTGCTCAAGTGGACCTGTCCGCAAACACAATTTCTCAGTGATACTTTCTCCTCTGCTGTTGCCAGATTCTTCATACAGATATGATCAAGCTGTTTGTTAGAAGCTAAAAAAAATATCTATATATCTATATCTATATATCTATCTATATCTATCTATATCTATATATATATATATTTATATTGCTTGTTAACCGTATGGATAACTTTGTATTTAGAAAAGAACATAATTTATATTCTAGCCATCACACACACCAAGGCAACACTTTAATATTGCGAAATGTGAAATACTTATGACTCAATAGTATTTTATTGTAGGCCCATTGATCTTATGCTGAAGTCCCATAAAACTGTATTTGTTTTCTCTGGTATGTTAAGTAAGTGTGAAAGTTACATCCGCCATCCAGGCTGCAGTTAATTGTGGACTCATTAGAGGTTCTTAACAGTGGATAGAGCCAGCACAGGACCCTGAGCCCCCGAGGGCATGGCTCTCACTGTGCTCTGGTCCTTTACTCATTAACACAGATTTGGAGGGACAAGCTTTGTTCAGCTTCAGAGGAACTGTACTAAACCCCCAACAAGGTTACCTCTATTGTGTCCCTTTTGTCAACACATTAGGTCAGTTTTTTTTTTTTGGTAAATGTAATTAGAGAAATTAAATAAGAAATTGAGTCAGAGTTGTATTTGTGACAATTGTTTCTAATAATATATGGCCTACAGGTTTGTTTATGCATCACACGACCATAAAAAAGGACCCAAAGTACTCATGGGGTAATGTGATAAGAGATGTAGAGCACTGACCCCTAACAGGTCTGGTGTTACTGGTGACTTCACTTTCAAAACAACCAAGAAAGGTCAAGACCCCAGCTATAAAACAAAGAATGCACTGTTAAAGATGCACTTTGTAACTTTTCTGAAGGTGCGCCTGCCATCTGTTTGTCTCCATGGTGTTTCAAGAAGTTATTGCTTTGCCTGGAATGTCCCACAGTATGACATTACACGTCCATCATGCATTTGTTCAATTAGGGGTTTTATTGCTAGAAACTTCCTTCCAAAACATTAATTCTGACTCTGCCTTTCAACAGATCTGATCTGTAAGTTGGACTAGTGGTGTCATTTGCTTGTCTCCATGGAGGTAATGCCAGATTGTGGAACATTCCAGGCAAAGCAATAATATCTCATTTATACAAGTAGAATCCAAAGGTCTTACTTATCGCTTCTGAAGAAATAATTTAATAAAGAAGTCTAAAACTGCTAAAAGTTTTGATTAAAGGACCTGTATGGCACTATTTTCTGATTGACATTATAATGTTTCCACATTATAAACATACCTGGAGTTGTGTTTTGTTTCATTCATATAGGTTTAACACACAAACAAAAAGTGGAACAGAGAATTTTGATCTTTGGAGATGTAGACAGACTAATAAAACTACTAATAAAAAAGGTTACTCAAACATGTGTGAATGAAACCAAACACAATTCCAGGGGTGCTTTTGAGGGGTGACAACAAAGCACACAAGAATCCATTTTGCATAATATAGGACCTTTAAGGATCTAAGCATCATTGCAATACATTCATGACATAGAGTATGTGATTATTTGTTAGTATTTAAACCCCAAGAGTCATCAGATGGATTCTTCAATATTTTTAATGCCATCATAAAGCACTTATTGCCCCAAAACATTGTCAGTTTACAAAGTTTACATAGTCTATCAAAGAGATTAACCTTATCACAGACTCATGTTTATGATGCACTTACTATTTTATTGGCCCCAAGCTCAGCTCCTCAAGTGTCACTCCCCCTCTCACTGGTGGGTCTATGGTGCAGACTGGTGCAGGGCTCATATGGCTTTGATTAACACGTTCATTTCACCTCTCTCTGTCGCAGTGCCCAGAGCCGGTAGACTGATTGAATTCACAGAGTCCTCACGTGGGTACGAAGTGTTTATAAAATTCAGTCTAGCAATTATTCATCTGTGTCTTGCCAACTATAATGTGTCTGGTCCATGATATGTGTGCTGGTTGTCTGCACGTGTCTTATATTGTTATTGTGTATCCTGAAGGTGTTATTCTGAATAATTATCAGATTTCAAAGGCTACTATAAAAACATTTGTTTTTCTAAGAATACATTAAGTTTATTAATAAAGCTAAATGGATAATGCACAAGCCTACATAAGGTCTACATCCAGAAAACAGGAATAAATTAGGACAGGATGATATCAGATAAATCAGGATTAACCCAGCACCAGTGTTGGATCTAACTAAGTTACTAATAATTAGTTACTGTAATTGGATTACAATTTAAAGCAACTCAGAAGTTTAACACAATACTGTGAAAATGCTTGTTATTAAATTAGTTTAATGCCCAGGACTAACTAAACTAGGACTAAATCAGAAGACGGACACAGTCCTCAGACAGACCACCATATGAGAAACAGGCCTATTCACTGTCTGAATGAAGGGTCGACAAAATATTACAGTTTTCTAACAGTGTGTAAAAATGATGACCTAAGATTTCAGATGTACAGTCTGTGCATAGCCTAAACGTAAATTAGCCACAAACCAACTCCAGATGTGAAATAATCAGTGGATTCATTAGTCACAGTCAGAAAAGGAGCATTTTGTCAGTGATGAGAAGAGTTTCCATGTGTGCAGACAGGAGCTGTACTGCACAGTAGCACCAGGATTATGCAAGAGCAGCATTAGGTACAGTCCAGATGATGACAGAGTACTATGGTGTTGGCTATAGCCCAGTTCAAGTTATTTATTAATATTGGGGGAAAATATGATTTTGATATTAGGTCTACAAAATCATCAGCCCATAAGATTAATAATAATTTGTAATAATAATAAAACTACATAATAATAATAATAATAATAATAATAATAATAATAATAATAATAATAATAATAATAATAATAATAATAATAATAATAATAATAATAATAATTTGACTTAGGCTATCTCGTCTTGTAGCCCTCTAGACCATGGACATTTTTAATCAAATAACCAAATTAAATGTAACGCTGGTCTTTCTCCCACATAGACTGTAATTTTAGAAAGGATTAGGCTATATTTGTACAGATAAAATTGGGGTCGGTGGTCTCAATAATTGGTCGCCTTTTATTTATGCTCGGACTGCTGGTCTGGATGGTGCCGTTCTAAAGCCAGGCTGGACAGTGAGTGGCGGGGCCCCAGCCCGCCCCCTCCGGAGCCATAATGAGACGCTGTCTCCCGCGGCAGTCACGCTACAACCGCGGCTCAGCATCACATCCACTTCCCGTCTCTCTCTTCCTCTCTCTCTTTATTTCTCTCTCTCTCAAACTCCCGAAGACTGTGGCGCCTCTGTGCACCCTGCAACCTGCGCACTGACGAGCACGCCGAAAATATAAGACACGTTTCTCTGTTTTTAACTGTGTAAACCTGTGTTTTTACCTAGCCTGTTTCAATGGGTCCACATGCAGTACTCCTCTGCTCCCTCTTTGGGGTCATCCTCACTCAAGGTAAGTAAAGTTACCTGCTTCTATCGCGTTACCCCTTACTAAGTAATTGCGCTCCTACAGTTGGGTAGCATGTGTGTAAGAGCTAGTAATAAAATGCTTGTTCGAACAAATACAGTGTAAACTTCTAAATACTGTGTACAGCCTACCTTAAGTCCATAACAGACAAAGAGATAGTCCTGTAGGGATGATGTCATGAATGGGCAAGTTTGAGCATGTGGTGCCAGCTCACTTCATAGCCTATTAATAATCTCTGCAAGTCTTTCATTATTAACTTAAAGTTGTCCCTCATTTCAACTCTATGGTGACTAGGGCCAAGTCTCTTCAACAATAAAAATATTTTCTTTGATTAACTGATAATTGTGGCCTATTACTTTCACATTTGAGTGATGGATGGTTTCCTGTAATATATTCATTCTATCTATCTGAAGATAACAGACATGAGCAGAAGAAGTCCAGTAGGAGCTGTGCAGTGTGTGCTGTGAGTCAAAGGCCAGGGCTGGTATGCAGCGATGCCCCTCTACATCCACAGAGCCAGCCCAGGACAACCAGACACTTGGGTGTGATTTATACTTGAGTGCCCACAGCGGGGTCTCCTCACAGGGAGGAGGAGGAGGACACTGGGCCCTGGACCTGTGTCCTCAGAGGCAGGAGGAGGAGGACACTGGTTCCCTGGACACGCTTTGGCCCATTTTCTCAATCAGCAGCTCATTTCTCAGCTGTCATGCTCTTGAGGTCATAGGTCACCCTCTGTACCAAAGTTTGAACAGAGAGTTCTGTTGTGTACAAGAGGATATCAAAAGTGCATCACATTTAGTTTCCTAGTACTTTATGGTGCATGGTGTAAAACTCTTGAAAGCTCCCAGTACTGAGGAGATGCTGAGTGCTTTTGCGATGTCTGGCTTGGACCATACTTTGTCTTGGCTCTGCTCCACTGCTGGGCTCATTAGACTTGTTTACATGAGGCGTCTAGACACAGGCAAGCCATGTGCTTTTCTGCCAAGACACAATAACCCTCCTTACGCGCACTGCTGCAATCCAAGATGAAAATCAGCTTTATGCAGACAGACAATGCTTCAGTGAGACGGGGCACTGTGGCATGCTCCTCTGTCTATTTTGATACAATTGGAGCACATGTTTTCCTCTGGTACTTTGGGATGTTGGAATGAGAGTTACTGTGGTTATCAGCGCAACTACTGCGTGGATAACTCATGAGGGGGAGCAGACACTGTGACATCTAGGCTGTCATTCACAACATGTTTATGAGTCTCTGTAGAGGAGGAGGTCTGAATTAAGCTTCTCTTGGATTCTGTACTGCTTCAAATCTCTCTTTCTGAGATCAGCATATCAGACTCCAATGTAGTGCTGACCTGTACCATTAGATAAATGTATTATTCACTGACCTGTTTACAGATGCTCCTTTTCTCATTGTAAGCAATGTAAATTATCAACGGTGGTGGAAAGAGTACAGTTATGTCTAATCTATAACGCAAATTTGTACTTAAATATATTATGTAAAATGTACTCTTTAAGTCATGGTATTATATTGTTACCACCTCAAAACCATCCCTGGAGTTGTGTTTTGTTTCATTCACATATGTTTGAGCCACCCTTTATTATTAGTCTTTCTTCTATCTACGGCTCTAAAACTGAAAATGCTCTGTTCTACCTTGTGATGTCATGTAGTGGTAGTTTTCAGATTAACAGTTACCTTTAACATTTACTTCAGTAGATATTGCCAATTCAAGAGCTGAAATTATCCAAATTAGTCTAGCAATGGTGTATGGATTTTAAAAACATAGTGGAGGACTTCCTGTATTACTACATGACATCACAAGGTGAAACAGAGTGTTGTCGTTTAAGAGAACTCAGTCTAAATATGATGGGTTTGTGTGTGAATGAAACAAAACAGAACTCCAGGTATATTTGTGATGAGGAAACAACATTACAACATAGGTCAGAAAATAGCCTAATATGGGCCCTTAAAGTACAAGTAAAAATTATGCATGAAAAATACTACTCAAACGAAGTACAGTTACTAGTTACTTACACAATTTTCAGTCTTTAATACAAACTTGATCAATGAAACTGAATTCTTTTAAACCAAAATATGCATCTTGTCTGAGTTCTGTCCAATCAGAGTAAGCGATGAGGAACCCTTATGTTTGTTTGTAGGAGCAGAGACAGATGAGGCATTAGGATCAATGGGACTTGTATAGTACTTGGTAACCTGATTTAAAATGTAATGAAGTACAATTACATGTCTAGAATTATACTCATTTTAAGGTATGAGTACAGGTTTCAAAATATTCTCAAATCTGCACAGTTACACTAACCTGAGCATTTGTAGTATGTTACTTTCCACACTGATTATTGGTGAAATATTTTGTTGTGATAGTTTAAAATTCATATTTGGTAGAGGTCAGGTCTGAAGTGTTTGGTAGGTCCATATAAAACCCTTTAAAATGCCATGTGCTTGTGCTACTGCTGAAAGGTGGCAGGAGTCCCAGAGTCACAGTGAGTCAGGAGATTCAGTACTGTGGAGTCTGCTGCTCCATTGTCTCGGCTTCTTGCCTGGTTAATCATCGTCCATTTAGCTTGAGCTGCCACTCACTGCTGCTTTTACTTAGTTGGGTTATGGCTCCATTTCTTCAGACTGGAAGAGTTTCAGAAACCACAAATGCCCCAATGGTAAACATTGTGCTAGTGATCAGTAGGAGAGTCATAGTTGATCTGTACAAAGAATTTGAAGAATCTTATTTTTGGTTTACTGCATGAAAAAGATTATCCATGTGCTCTTGAGAATTTAGGAGAAAAAAACATGGAATATATTTTTCAGACACTAAATATAAGATCTGTTTTAAGTCTCTAGCTGAAACATTGGTTAAGAAGATGCTTTTTATTTTAGAAATTTAGAATAAAACGTGACATGTATAGATTATTATTTTACATTGTGCTCATTGTAAACCGCAATATTGATCTTAACAATAGAGAGCGATTGACTTCCTATTCAAAACTGCAGAGATGGCAGGCCTCACCTCCCTTTTTTGAAAAAAATTAAGTAAGTACACAGAAATGAGCCTTAATACAGGATTACTCAAACATGCTTAGATCATTACAACTTTGAGTAAACTAATGTTGATTTAACTGTTGTAACATAGCTAATAATTCTGACTAGCTTCACATAATATGTCCTTTTAAACACAGATTACCCAAATTAGCAAATAGATAATTCTGTGGTGACATTAATCACATTACAGATAGGATTGCATTGTGAATCTGGGGTTTTACTCGACTGGATCAGGCAGTTTTATTGTATAGAGGCCTGACACTGAACTGAATTAAAACATATTGTTCCACAGAGTTGGGTTTGATCCATTCAAGATCTACCCTTCCAACACCACAGTCTTTGGTAAAACACCCCTGGGCTGATGACATTGCCAGGCAGATTAAATGTTTTCACCACCAATCAAGAGATTATGCAACTGCCCTTTGGCAAACTGTTAAAGACTAGATAAAGGCTTGTAATTTACTGTACTTATCCAAAACAACTCAGTCTTGTTATCAGTTAGTTTAGTTAATTTGCTTCAATTTGATACTATGTGAAAGTGACTACAAACTGCTAGCAGGCTGAAGGCTAATGTAAGTGTATTTTTTGCGATTAAAATGACTTCTGTGGAGATACGCTATAATATAATCTCTGGCCCATGCTAGTTATGTCATCAGATTGATAGGCTAATAGTTCTAGCTGCAATCACTATTTTTAAATAATGCAAATATTATAGGTGATGCAACCTCATACTTCTTGCTGAAAGTTTGCTTTTTTCCTAGGAACTAAAGATATCACTCTGGAGGATTGTTGTGAAGATGGTCAGAGACGCGGCAAGGAGGGTGAAGACTGCTCCTCCCTCCCTTTGATGTCTGATTCAGTCACCTGCATGTAAGAAAACCCTGCTCTCAGTCCTGGTTTGACCTGGAATAGATCTGGTTTAGTTCTGATTTAGACCTTGGTTTAGCTTAACCTGGTCCAGTTATGGTTTTGACTATTTCCACTCCACAGTCCATTGTTTCTGTGCTGCAGGGAGAGGTTCTATGAGAATAGTCTTAGATTATTGGATTGCTTTACCAAACACCCTTAAACCTCTGTCAGATTATTCACTTAATACAAGTGTAGGAAGCCTTAACAGGGATAATGAGAGTTATAATGGTAAGAGTAGAAGGTGCAGTGCCACAGGTCAGGTCATTATAAGCCAGTGGGACCTACTCATGGCAAACGCATTTACCAGAGACACCAGAGCAGATCCCAAATTTGTCTAAATTATACAGTGAGGGGGAGACGGTAGGTTTTGTGGATGAAAATTGGTTAGTGGGGGTCAGAAGAGGGGCTCTTTAAAACCCCAGGAAATACCTCTGAGGTGAGCTGCGACATGGAGGGAAGATAGACAGGCCAATAACAGGAAATCTCAATGATTACTTCAGAAACCAACAGGGGAAAAGTGAAAGTGAGGAGAGAAAAGAAAAACAGGAGTGGAGTGTGCCCTTAAAAGGCTGTGCTGGGAGGTGTGTGCCTGACGTGGCTCTCAGACGTGAGTCTCCGATGTGGGTTTACGGACTGCATGAGATTCTGGTAAGTGTTGATAAAGAGCTTCTGTGGAAAGAGGAAAGGAGATGATGACGTTTCATGTATTGTAAAATCTCAGAGACTATGAGCCAGGCCAGCCCGTCTCTGACCTCTGTCCAAAGTACAGCAGTTTGTTACTCTAAGGACTATGTCACATACTCAAGCACATTTTATTTATTCTTTCTATACCTTCAAAATTATGCTTTGTCCTTAAAGTGCAGTGATGATGTGATGGTGTTTTGCACTGGGTGCTCTTGCTCAGTCATTTACTGTTAGTGTCATAAAGGTCTGATGATTTAGAACCTACTCTGCCTCCACTGTTTTAAACAGCAAAGCATTGTTCACAATCATCACAATAGGCTGTAACTGCTTTTCACCCACATGATAATATTATTGTAAAGTGACCTTTGCAAACTGACATTTACAGCTATGATGACTGTTATGCTCCCTTATACAACTGTTTTTTACTACTGCATTATAACAGCAGTGACCAGGGCTGTGCCCTTCTATTCTTTGTGATATCGCATTAAACATGTTGTGCATAAAAACAGATCTGGCAAACAAATCCTGTATCTTCTTGCCTCACTTCTCTGTCCTGGCCTTAAGCCTGGAAAAAACAGGTGAAAATATGACTTGAAACATCTGTCTAATGAATATCTTACAGGGGAGTTAGACTAAAAAGCTTTAAGATTCAGCCACAACACCCCCTCACTACTTTGAATATCCAAACAAACAAATTATTCCTTCTCTTACTCAAATGTCCTGTCTGTTTGCCGAAAGCTATTAAAGATTGCATCAGAAAATCCCCAGACTTGAGCACAAACATTTATCTTAATAAAATGTTGTTTTGTTTTCGTGTGCTCTATTGTTGGCAGGATAGTCAGGGAGCAGTGCTGTTTGTCTGTCCTGGAGGATAACATGTGTAGCACCGGCATCAACACAGCCAAGAGCCAGGGAGCCTGTGATGCCCTGTTCACCAGCACCTGCGACGCTAAGACTACAAAGGTCTGTTAGAACAAGTACTGTCTCGTCACTGTGTGTGTATACACAAATACAGAGGAGTGTACCAGGGGAGCCACGTTTTGTGAAATCCAGTACCCTTTTAGCACTTTTAAAGGAACTACATTATTATGGCAACCAACATTTTTAGGCTGTTTGCCTCTCAGAACACTTGGCAAGACTATAAATGAATACTGTATATTGTTTGTACATCAAATTTCAATGAGATGATATCACTTAGAAATTATAGCATTTTAATACCATACTTTTTAAAATTCTCATCTAAACTCCATTTTCAATTGAAATGTTATTGCTTCGTCTGGAATGGTATTTGATTTTCCACCTCTGGAGACAAGCAGGGGACACTGTTAGGCCAAGTTACAGGTTAGATCTGGGGAGAGGCAATCCAACTTGATCTTGATGGGAAGCCAGAGTACCCGGTAAGATGTTTTATTACTTATAAGACTTTGGGTTTCCTGTTATATTAAGATTGTATCACAAAATAATAATTACCAAATTTCAATATGAGAACAAACTTTATATTTGATTAAGATCGTGGTGAAGATAGCAGGGCCTTACAGAGAGCTATGAACAGGACAGGACATGCCACGCCACACAGGAATGGAGCAAGATAGATAGATTAGAAATGAAATCCTGTCTCTGGAAAATCCGCAGGGTCTGAAATTTTATCTCACAATATTCCTCTTTGTGTTTCAACAATGCATCAACATGTGCTTGGCAAGCTGAAGTTATCTGTCACTATTAAAACAATGTGGACAAATAAAAAGGAGAGTTATTGGCGAAATTCTTACTCTGATGCAATGAAAACTGTTGTTGCATGAAGTGCAGACACTCACCCACATTCAATGACACAGTTTAACCAAGAAAAAAATCATATTGTAGCAGTTGATAAATTAAGTAAGGAGGTACATTTTTAAAGGTGCACTATGACACTTTTCTGAGAGTTGGACAACACCTGCTTGCGTCCATAGATATATTATTGCTTTGATGTAAATGGCCCTAACTGATGTACCTTGCATTTATTCAGTTGCAGGTGTTTATGTGGTCATAGAGATACCAATCTGGGCAAAGAAATAACATCCTCATATAAACAATAAGATAGCAGACCCTCTACTTGAAATGTTGCATCTTACACCTCTGCCATACAAAAGAATAGAAAATTATTTCCACAAACCTGTCTCATTCCCTTGTAGTGTTGATGGTGCTGGGGTATATTTCTCTTTATGTTTTTTGTCTGTAATATTTTGAATTGTTTGCTGTCCTGTAGATGTGCTGTGAGTGCTGTCTGTTGGGGAAGGCCCTCCAGGAGAAAGGCCTGCCCTGTGACAATAAGCTGTCAGTCAGTTATCAGTGTGGGCTTGTGTCCCGGGCCTGCTGTGTGCATGATGTCCCTGACAATCAGACGGATTCAACTGGGACAAATGAGTGTAAGAAGCAAACATATATTCATTTGTATATAAATTGTACAAATTAAAACTAACTTTCCAGAAGGAACAATCTATTTTCTCTAGAAGATGACATTATACTGTAGCCATTTAAACTGTGAGACGCTCATTTTAATTTTCCCCATAGTGCCGAACAAAGATGAAACCCCCAAAAATGGAGACAACTCTGTGTTATCAGATCAGTGCAATGGTAAAATACTAAGAGCAAAATATATACATCAGTGATTAAAGGTATAATAAGTAATTAACATGTTTTTTTGTTTATGTTTTGTAGGAGTCTGTGCTCAAAAGTGTGTGGGTAACAACACCTGTGGCTGCTTCAAAGGCTACAAACTCAAACCAGATGGAAAAGGCTGTGATGGTAAGATATGTTTTTTGCTATTATATTTTTATTTTAGTTCATTACACTAACTTATCTCTTCTGACAGATATAAATGAGTGCTTGTTGGGCTCCAGTAACTGTCGCAGTGGGGAGCGTTGCATTAACACCGAGGGGTCATTTCGGTGCCAGAGGGAGGTCAGCTGTGGGACGGGCTACGAGCTCACTGACACCAATGACTGTGAAGGTCAGTGACTTCCTGTTTTACATAGTCACAGGGCCTAATAAATGCCAAGGTTTGTAAAGATTTGTCCCCCACAAATTTGGCAGTTCAAATCCTGCTCTTCACACAGGCTTCATCCAGTTTATCTTGAGTTATTAGTGTGGTCACAAAGACAGTGAGTGCAGAATTTCTCAAATCAGAGACCAACTCTGCACGTACTTGGAAAACCACTGCTCACTCCGAGAACACTATTGCATTCAACTGCACTGGGCAAGAAACAGCCAGGAAATATTAGATGTGCATATAAAAGTGTACGCACTGATTTTTTACCACACAATATGGCCAATATAGTTATGCAGATTGTTCAGACAGCACTGAACATCTCTCAGTCCTTAAGTCTCATAAGTCCAGTACCCTTTGTTAAACTGCACTGAGACCTTTGACTGACACACAAAGGCGAATGAGAAGCACAGTGTATATATTGCTGCAGCAAAACTTGAATTTCCCACAGGATCAGTAAAGAATCTCTCTCTTTCTCTCAGCACTCCGACTGATGATTACTGAAATTGGATCAGAACTGTAGCCCTCCCATATGTCGGCCTAAGTCTTTGTTGATTAGACATAAGGGGTGTTGTTGTAATATTTTATTACAGATATAAATGAGTGTGAGACAGGCATCCATAACTGTGGTCCAGAATTCGAATGCCAAAACACACAGGGCTCGTTCCGCTGTCTGCCCAAAGCCAAGTGTGACACTGGCTATATCCAGGATGCTCTTGGAAACTGCATGGGTAAGTCCTGATCATCACCAGTAAATTGCATGTGCATGTATTTTCACATTGATAAATTATCTTGTGTATTTTTCCTTAGACATAAATGAGTGTTTGAGTCAGACTGGACCCTGCCACAGAGGACATCTCTGTATCAACACAGAGGGGTCCTACACCTGTCAGAGGAACTCAGTGAACTGTGGCCGAGGATACCACCTCAACGAAGAGGGCACACGCTGCATTGGTGCGAAGCAAAGCCTACTCACAAAGTATTAGTGGACTAACACAGCATTTACAAGTTAATTTCATATATTTATATTTGTATTTCACAGATATTGATGAATGCAAGAATCCTGATAAAGTCTGTGAGGGTCATGGTTGTGTAAACTTGGTGGGCTCCTATCGCTGTGAGTGTCAACCCGGGTACACCTTTAACAGTTTCAGCAGAACTTGTGAAGGTGGGTAGACTTTTCTTAGTTTCTGTTTTTCAGTTTTTATTTAATATTTTTTTTTAAATCTCTTCATAAATAGAAGTATCCTATGATTCAGCATGTGACATTGGTTTATGGATATCATATTAGAAAAAACAACATAGTTTAAAAATTTTATGTATTAGACAATGTGATCAACTTTTTTAAAATATTTTTTTATAAAAATAAAAAATATATAATTTGTAGTAAGACATAGAAGATAACACTAAATTACTTAAACCTGAGAAAACTGTTGTAAAATAAATTGTAGTAGCCTGAAAATTAAAGGGAAGATGCATGGCACTGGAGAGGTTTATTTACCATCAGTACAGACCCAGCAGCTGGAGACATGATCCCTCAAAACATTGTTATAGATGTTTTCCATTCCAGTTTAGTGGCATCCAGTCTGCCTATGCTTCTGTTGTAGGGAGTATTATACCTCTGATGATGCACATGAAGATAACAAGGACTGTGCTGGCAGTGAGAGCCCTCAGTAGAGCACAGAAAAGGAATTTCTGTACCAAAAGCAAATACTTAAATTAGAAATAGATTAGAACAAACAGGACCAGACTAACCATTGCCCAAAGAGTTGAGTTAATATAAATTTCTGTAGTTTGTTCTTATGTTGCAAATTGCACTATTGGTATTTGCACCGCTAATCAGTTTTGCCTGTGCTGTTTAAGACATAAATGAGTGCAGACACTACCCTGGTCGCCTGTGCGCTCACAAATGTGAAACACACGTGGCTCATACAAGTGTAGCTGCACCACGGGCTTCAAGCTGTCCCCTGATGGCAGGAACTGTGATGGTAAGTAAAGCAGATAAAAGAAAAAAAATACCTTTTTAAAAAGAAATAGGAAGATTGCCTACATTTATTCTTATCGAAATATTTTCTTTGTAGATTTGAACGAGTGTGAGGAGAACCCATGCAGCCAGGAGTGTGCTAATGTCTATGGCTCCTACCAGTGCTATTGTCGCAGGGGCTACCAACTTAGTGACATAGATGGCCAGACATGTGAAGGTAAAATCTGTTAAAAATGTTACTCATGAAATGCAGTCTTTTTAGTTTTTGGTCTACTTCACTTTACCTTTCTTGTTTCTTCCAGACATTGATGAGTGTGCACTGCCCACTGGTGGTCATATTTGCTCATATCGCTGTCACAACACCCCAGGAAGTTTCCACTGCTCCTGCCCTGTGAGCGGTTACACACTGGCTCCTAATGGCCGTAGCTGTCAAGGTAGAATCTTATTTTGAATTATTTTGAAACTTAACTTTACAAAAGAAAAAACATACATCTTAATATTGTTTCAGATGTAGATGAGTGTGTGACTGGGACACACACATGCACAGTGAACCAGAGCTGCTTCAATCTTCAAGGAGGATTTAGATGCCTGTTTTTTGATTGTCCGCCAAACTACCGCAAAGTGGGAGAAACGTGAGTAGTACTTACCAGCCACAACAAGAACTACTCAGTTTTAAATCCAAACAGAAGGTGAACTTATACGCTACGTTCAAAATAAATAAATAAGAAGATGAGAGCATTCATAACTCAAGTCAGAGAACAGCAAAGTTCAGCAGGTTAACATCGCCACCAGTAATATGCAAATGACAATACCATGCTTGTTGGATAATTTGTTGCTGGTTTGAATGAAGGCTGCGCATGACCAGTGACAGGGCAGTAGCATGATCTACTCGAGTACTGAAACACCAACTAGACCTACAGTGAGTTTTAGCTTCATTATTTAACCTTCAAAATCTCATAAGTGGCAGTATGACTGTCTTGCATGACTTCACTGAGGGCACCATGATTCACTGGAAATGCTGCTGATGTGATGATCCTCCACTGCATGCCATGCACGACATGACATTCACTCGTCTTCTCTCTTTGTGCCTGTTCTGTTCTTCTTTCTCTCTTTCACAGTCGATGTGAACGCTTGCTTTGCAATGAGTCTGTCGAGTGCCTGGGCAAGCCCCTGAGAATAACACACTACTACCTCACCTTCCCCACCAACATCCCTGTCTTCACCAACATCTTCCGCATGGGCCCGTCCCAGACCCTGCTCGGGGACGACCTCCAGATCTCCATCACGGGAGGAAATGAGGGTGGCTTCTTCCAGACGGAGCGGTCTCCCACAGGAGGGGTCCTGTCTGTGGCCAAACTCATCAACAAACCACAAGACTTTGAGCTGTCTGTGGAGCTGAGGTTGCGCCGCTACAACTATCTGAGCACGTACCTGGCCAAAGTGCTGGTGTTTGTCACTCAGGACGAGCCCAAAGTGCCTTATAACCCTCTCCTGGAATAACTGTGTTAGGGCTATCTCAGTCCCTCAGCTCAAAGGTGCCATAAGATATTAGGAGCAGTGATACAGCCTTTCAAGACCACTGTGAGGAGGGAACGCCACTGTTTTAACTCTGCATTTATGCAACAGCAGTTTAAACAACCAGCACTGATAAAGCAATGTCTAACTAACTTAAAGTGTTTAGCCAATGATTAAAAGTGGGTTTGCCTCCATATATTTACCAAATATTTGCCTGTTAATACCTGATCAGGGAACGACATTCTGGTGATTTTTTCACACTACAGCTAAGAATATCTGACTTGTATGTTTTAAATCTGCAGTTCATTCTTTATCATTTGGTTTTATTCCAGGACAATGCACATAAGATGTTTAAACTTTATTCTTAATATTGAGAGATTTTTTTGTTTAGCTCACAGAGGTGAGTACACAGATTTGTCTGTAAATATTGTAACTAAATTGTTCAGTTCAGAACTGCACATACATGCTACTAGGTCATGCATAAATCTGAAAATTTTAGTAAATGTATTGAAGTAATACTTTGGGGCAACCACAAGGTGGAGCCCTATGTTAGGGTATACAAATTGGTAGTAGTCCATCAGCAGTGTAATTTGATGATAGTTGCATGATAAAGCCTAACGCTTTGGGAGTGTTTTATGGTTTTTGTGTTGGATGAACGACTTTCTATTAAAATTTAAATAGAAATAACACATGTTCAACAACTCGTTTCAAGTTTTTGGAGCTGTAACACAAAGGGCTCTGGTTCTCCCCAGCAGTTCTGCTCCCAAAGTAATGAATTTGATAGCAGCTTGTGTTTACATTTCTTTCAAAATCCCTACCACAAAACTTCACAAAGTGTGCCAGCTTTCTTTAAGTGATTCATATTCTGTCTAAACCATCACTTACTTGAATTATAAATGCATCAATTATTCTCATCCACAGTTTTGGCCTTTCTTAACCCTTTTGAACTGAATTTTATGGCAAACCCGCCAGCCAGTGGAGAGTTGAAGTCAAATCACATTACTCAGACAGAAATAAAACAAATATGATACAATATACTTAAATTTTACATTACTACCTGCTCTCTCCAACTCCACAAGATAAAGTGAAATTGGATGTTAAGTAAGTGACATGAGAGGGAATGCAGAGACCAAAAAAATATAAATAGTCTTACATAGAAGTCAGGCTTAGGACTGTGGTTGTCCCAGGTTTCCCCTCCCTCCCCCATCCAACCTACAGAGGATGCACTGTGTCCCTAGAGGGGGTCTCCTTAAAATAAGTACTACTGAGAGCATTGGAGTGGACTTTTTTCCTTCTTTCTGACAGTGAGTTATGGGACCCTGGGCTCTGGCCGGTGGTCTGAACAATTTGTGGTCCGGCAGCATCAGCGCGCGTAGAGTGACTGATGCCCTGCAGTGTTTGTGTTGGGGCGTTATCAATGTGCTGACTATAAATAATAATTACACACACAAAAAAGTTTCAAAACGGCCTGTGCGCTTGACCATGAGACCTTCATCCAAAAAGAGTGTTTTTCTTTCTGGTCTGAAAACTATTGGGGTTTTGCCGCTGGGCTGGGCCACGTGAGGCACGGAGAGATGAAGAAGTCATACTCAATATACTCTATGCACACTTACAAGAAGTGGGTGGGGTGGACCAAGATTGGACCAAGTTAGGATAATGGAGTAGCTCAAATACTCAATATCACCTACTATTAAAGCACACTATGTTACTTTTCTGCTAGATCTTACTGGTGTCCTAGAATGTTCCACAGCACTTATCTCGCGTATAATCTATTATGTTTTTTTCATTGCAAATATACCATCAAAACATACCTTCTTACTGTGAGCAGGGTCACCTCCTTATGGATCTGAGCTGTAATTTGGCCTGGTGGTGTCAGATGCTTAATTGTCTCCTAGGAGATAAGATACATTTAATACAGTAGAACATTCCTGATAAATATATCAGGTCTCTATGGACCTATCTTATGCAAAATCGACTCTTAGGAGATTTAAGTCAAGTTAGAATGTTATCTCATCTAAAACATATCTGGAGCTGTGTTTTGTTTCATATTTGAGAAATCCCGGTTTATTAGTGTCTATTAATGTCTATTAATGTCTACATCTTCAAAGCTCAAAATGCTCTGTTTAACCCTGTCATGAAGTGGTAGTTTTCAAGTTAACATCTACTTTTTATCCTTTGTTCAGTAGAGACTGGCAATTCCAGGGCTGAAATTATCCAAATAATTCTAGTGAAGGTGTATGTTGTTTAAAAACACAGTGGGGTAATTCCAGTACTACTAGATGACATCACACATGGCACAGAATATTTTCTGTTTTAGAGAAGAATTCAGCAAGGTTTGTGTGTTAAACATGTGTGAATGAAACAAAACACAACCTCAGGTTTGTTTTTCATGAAGTAATAACGTTAGAACATTGATCAGAAAATAGCACAGTATGGGGCCTTTAACATTAATCAGAAGTTTGAAGTTTAATGCACCTTTAAGCCCTTTGATATAATATTTTTTGAGACAAAGAAAACAAATAACAAATTAATATACAAATTCTACTACTGTCAAAGAGAACACTCTTTAAAAGGCCAGATTATTGAAAACCATTAAAATAAATTATCATAGTATACCACTGATACGACATAACAAGACGATTTTAAGTACTTGAGGCTAAGTGCACATCAGACCTGTATATAAATAGCTGCACTTGCTGTGTTTTTGAACTCCTCTTTTGTGTGGGACAGTATGGATGGAACATTATTATATTGTCATAAATTTTACTCTGTGCCAAAAGAGCGTTTTCACCTTGTCCTCCAGAGGCCCATATACGGCCCTCTCTGCAGCCCAGGCCACAGTATTACAAACTATACAGAACATTTGGCGGTTTTGGCCGGGTCCAGAGTCAAACTTGGACCTACTCACTAATTGCTAATTACAAGCCCCTATACTCAGTGGTGGCTTGTCTTTATGTCTTCTCTCCTCGCTCTTGAAGAAAAAGAGGAGTGCAAACCCAAAAGCTGGGAGCGTGGTTCGGGTCTATGGGTCCCCAGAGAAGGCCCAGAGAGATCCTCCGCCTATGACTCAACTGTGTGGCTGTACGGCTGCCATGCACATTAACTGTTCTTATACATGGCAACCTGACTGTTTTCATAACCCAATATAACCAGCTTGTCTCCTGTGTGAAGGAGGTTAAATATAAAATGTTGGATGTCAAAGAGAGGGCTCATATTTACTGCACCAATGAGGAGGTCTATATGGTAGAAAAGTGGATTTATTTCAGTAAAAAAATGTATAGGACTTGCCAATTCCTTGAGCAGTAATACCATTGCATCCTTGAGTGATGCAATATAAATCTTTATTAGTATAGTTAGTAGTTAAAATTGCAACGTATTTTGCTTTGTATTTTGCCTTGTCTGGAATTTTTCTTCATGGAGACAAGCAGATGGTGCCATCAGGCCAAGTTACAGGCCAGATCTGTGGAGAGGCCACCCAGCTAATAATCCATGTCTTTTAAGAAACTTCTCTTAGCAGTAAAATACCAGTCACTAAATAAATGCAAGATGGATAAGTTTAATGTCATACTGTGGAGCATTACAGGAAAAGCAATAACATTTCCGTGGAGACAGGTGGGTAGCAGACTCCCTTTAATTGCATGTGCACCTTTGATTCAGGTTTTTTTTTTTTTTTCATTAATGTTGCTCTGCTTGGAATGTCCCACAATGTGATATTAAACAGATCTACCTTTCATGTATTCAATTACAGTGGATTTATTGCTCAAATATACCTAGAAAAACAGGATTCTGACTGTGAGTGGGGTTGCCTCTCCACAGATCTGACCTGTAACCTGGTCTGGTTTGGTCTCCATGATGATAGAAAGGTTTAATATTGTAGGTGGCAGACCCTCGACCAGAAAAGTTCCATACTGCACCTTTAAATGACGTTATTCCGCAGTATACAATTTTGACTCATCTCTAAAAATATAAAATACTCTACATTTTAATCCTACCACCGATGTCAAAACTTGATATATTTGACCACTAATGCATTAAAACCTTTGAGACAGCAGCACCCCCCTTGAACTCTGTCAGCGATCAACCTGGAATAAACAAAACCCTAAATAATGGTACGCACACTGCCCCGGGAAGAGATTGGGGAGGTGTCTAGGCCTGTTCCTCACAATTTAGGAGTCTTTTAGAACACTCCCCTGTCCCATAAATCCTCGTCAGGAGATTATCTGATGTGAAGTCGGGGATGCTTGTTAAAGCCAAATATTTTCTCCAGCAGGTATTGGATCATCCATTGTGTGAGTGCATGGTGCAATTTATTATTACAAAGCTAGCAGGAAAATCCATGTAGGCCAGTGCAAGTCTTTTTTACATTTTATAAGAGATCAGTAGAGTTGTAGATGGGAAATTATAAAACAAAACAAAAAACTGCAGGATTGTTCAAACATGAAACATGCTTAAAACTGTTTTTTAAAACAGAAACCCAGGCAGACTAGCTGGCCTATAATAAATAAACAAATAAACAAATGTCCCATATACAAAGATCTAGACCAAAAGTAAAAGTGATGTAACTTTCTCAACACTCATGAGTATAGGCCACTTGTGATTTTGACTCAAATAACAGTGTCTTACGTGTTTCAGAGTGACCACACGTGCAGATGTTCGCTGTACAAAGCACTGTCAACCCAATGACTACAGCTGTGCCCTGGACCCGGTCACCTCTATATCCCACACATTCATCTCCATGGCAACCATGAGAGAGTTCATTAGGCCAGAAGGTACGCAAAAACTCTATTCTGATGCTGTATTGTTAAGTGGTGGTTAATGATCAATGGTTAAGTGGTTCATTCTGCTAACTGTATACAACATTTGGCATTTATAAGTAAGCAGTATAGGGGTTGTTTCCTGATCAAAAATGTAGTTGGAGTTGTGTTTTGTTTTGTTTCATTCACACATGTTTAACATGTAAACCCTGCATATGCTGTGGTCTTCTCTCAAACTCTAGTCCACATTGTGATGTCACATGGTAGTACAGGAAGTGCTCCACTGTGTTTTTAAATGCCACACACCTTCACTAGAATCATTTGGATCATTTCAACTTTCGAATTACCAATCGCTACTAAACAAAAGGTAAAAGGATCCTGTTAATGTGAAAACTACCACTTCATGATATCACAAGGTGGCAGCTTTGGAGATGTAGACAGACTAATAATATGTTTTTGAGGAGGTAACAGCATTCTAAAATGTCTTAGAGCATTATAACTATTCAATCGATTGCATTAAGTTGATAATGTGAGTTACTTGGTTTAACTTTTTTCTCTGGGTTCTATTCCAACAGAGATTGTGTTCTTGAAGACTTCGGTGAGTCCGTATGGCACCTATCACCTGGGCAGTTACGATGTGAAGTTTGAGATCCAGGAGGGCAATGTGGATAACGCTTTTGACATCATCAAGAGGGTGGAGAATGGGATGTATGTGGGTGAGTACACAGAACACAGCCAGTTTACCATAAGGTGTTGACTGAAGTAACACGATTTTTTGCTACACATTGTTACTTATTTTTTTCTACTGCAAAATATATAAAAATCTAATCAAAATAGCAGTTTAAAGGTGCACTGGGTAACATTTTGAGAGGAGGGTTTGTCACCTGCTTGTAGTTGTTGTTATTGTAGTTATAGTGTAGAAGTTATTGCTTTGCCTGAAATGTTCCACAGTATTGCATTAAACTTGTATAACCTGCATTTATTTAATTGCAGGGGATTTTATTGTCTTGAAAAACATGGACGAGAGCAGGGCGTCTTATCCATAGACCTGACCTGTAACTTAGCCTTGAAGTGTCACCTGCTTGTCTCCATGGAGAAAGATGTTTAATGTCATACTATTGGACATTTCATCTTTATGGAGATGAGCAGATGACCTTCCATCAGAAACGTTACACAGTGCACCTTTAAGTTGGTGCAATTATCAAATCACAAAGGCTGCATTTATTTGGATTTTTTTTTTTCAGCAAAGCTCAAAATATCTTGTCTTTTGATAGGAGAATGTAGAGATTGTACAGCTCTTCATCTTCTGAAATGCATGGGATTCTTGTATTAGTTTATGAGTTCATATTTCAGTTTTCAAAATTTTCCTCACAATATAATTCTTCATAGATAGTTAGTCGTTTTTTTTTTTTGTTTGTTTGTTTGTTTTTTCACTCTGCAGCCTCATTCTTTGTAACCACAAAAAATAATAATCACATTTTTGGACTTACTGAGAAATAAACTTAATGACCAGATACACTCTAATCAAACATGGCCATGTGTTTGTGCTAGAAACACATGAAAAAAAAAAAAAAAAACTAAAATTATGTTATAGTGGAACTTTATTTTGTGGAGATAGTGGGGTAAGAGTTTAACAGAGGGTAGAAAAATAGGACACAATTTTGCACATTCCCTGATTATTTCACAATATTCAAAGACACAAACCAAAACGAGTCCTAGAGGCAACATTTAAATCCTGGCCTTCTTTTTACCCAGTCGGTTATGGCTTTTGCAGTGTGGGGCTGTCATCAACTTAAGGGGGGACTTCCTGTGTCTCTTTCTGCAGAATGTTGTCCCTTATGTGGCCCTAACAGACAGACTGAGGCTTGTTTCTGCCCTAACCAATATGTGGTGTATCTTTCCAATTGTGTGGTCAGATGGAGAGTACCATTCACTCCACTTAAACATGGCTATAGTTGCTCATTACTATCCTCAAGAACCAAAGCCTGGCACCATGTACTGTAGTGTACAAATCAGTGCAATACTAATGCGTTGTACTTGATTGAACTTAACATTTAAAGGTCCTGTATTATGCAAAATTGACTCTTGTGAGCTTAAAGCCTTGTTACCTCCTCAAAAACATACCAGGAAATGTGTTTTGTTTCATTCACACGTTTGAGTAACCCTATACTATTAGTCTGTCTACATCTTTAAAGTTGAAAATGTTGTGATGTCATTTAGAGTTTTCAAGTTAAGAGCTACATTTTACCTTTAGTTTTATTATGTTCTAGTTCTAATTCTAGTTCTAGTTTGGCAATCCCAGGGCTGAAAAGATCCAAATGATTCTTGCACTTCCTGTTTTACTACGTGACATCACAAGGTGGAATAGTGTGTTTTATGTTTGACAGAATAACACAGTTTAACTACTCAGCGTTGGTTGTGTGTTGAGTGAGTGAATGAAACAAAACACAACTACAGGGATGTTTGTGATGAAGATACAACATAATAACATAGATCAGAAAATAGCATAATATGGTCTCTTTAAGCAATTTTTTGTTTGTTTTGTTTTTTGTTATATTCTAGCTCGGTTTTATGCCAGATGCCGTGCAAAACTGTTTTTATCCTGGCTTGGAAATGGCACAAAGAGTACACTATAGCTTGTATTACCAGATTAATTTATTACCTATATGTTTATATCTGTTACATTCTTTTAAAGGTGAACTGCATAACTTTTCCGATGGAACTGAATGGACTGGACTATACCCGTCTTGTCTCAATGGAGATGTTATTGCTGCGCCTGTACTTTTCCACCAGGCCAAGTTATAGATCAGCTCTGTGGAGGGACAAACACAGATCCACTCAGATTATTATTTGTTCCTGGAAAAAAAAACAAAAAACAGCTCTAACTGAAAGAATATATGATAGATATGTTTAAAGCCATACTGTGGGACATTCTAGGCAAATCAATAACATCTCCAGCAGCAAGAGACCAGCAAGTTATATCATAGTTATAGTATAGACCCAACACCAGAAAAGTCACTCAGTGCACCTTTAGATTTCCTTTCAAAGTAAATTTATTTTAATTTGTTTGTATTGCTGGTGTATTCCCTGGATTGGCATTAGCTGGCTGATCTGTGAGTAGCTTGTGATTGAGTGGTGGTGGGCGCAGGTGCAGGCAGTGGTGTCTTCGTTGTCTGGGGCTGTTGATGGATGTGAAACTGGAGTGTGAGAGGAAGAGCAGGTTCAAGAGGCTAAGAACATAACCATTCATCAGTATAACTGATATATCACATTTTTTCAACATGCACAAATATACATGGTGTGTGTGTGTACATAAAAAGACACTTTACCAAGAGACACATAGTTAATTTCTTCAGAAAAGATAGTCATGTCCTAACCCATTTAACCTTAGCTGCCTTCCACTGCCCTATAAAAACTATGCTTTGTTAAGAGGTATATCTAAAACACTACTGAATAAAGGAATGAATGATGAAAACATTCACAAAATACACCTAGTTAACCCTACATAAGGATCATTAATAGCAAGCTTGGCATATAGGTCACATAATAAATAATAAAACTGAGCAGGAATAAAATAAGAATGGTCAATACTTCTTCTTGCCAGTGAGGAGGTTACAAAATGAGTATGAGTAAACCATTGAATGCATGTTAAAAGTCCTATATTACGCAAAAGTAGCTAATGTGAGCTTTTAGCCATGTTAGAATGTTGTTATTACCTCTTCAAAAACATGCCTGGAGTTGTGTTTTGTTTCATTCACACGTTTCAGTAATCCTTTCTTATTAGTCTGTATACATCTCCAAAGCTCTGTTTTAGTTAAGTTACCTTTTTTCTTTTTGTTCAGTAGAGATTGGCAATTCCAGGGCTGAAAGTATCGAAATGATTCTAGTCATATATGGAATTTTAAAATACAGTGGAGGGTTTGTGTGTTAGGCATATGTGAATGAAACAAGTATGCATTTGATGATGAAACAACATTATAATATATATCAGAAAATACAGTAATATGGGCCCGTAAATGCATATATCAAAATTAGGGCTGGGCAAAAATAATTTTTTTAAAATCGCGAGTAATCGCATGAGTTTGAGTGATTAATCGCGATTAATCGCATGTTATACGCAAAACCAATTACTTAATTAAAAAGTAGAGTATAGTGCTCTTTTATTGGAAATGTAAATGAAAGAGCCAAACATTTGTTGTGCAAACAGCATTTCTTTCACAGGGGAACCCTCAGAGCCTTCAAGGTATTCAGGGAAGGCTCAAGAAAAAATACTGAATGGACGTTTGTACTACTAATATATTTATTGAATATTTTTTATGCTGTGAGTAATGAACACTACACTAGTAATAATTTCTAGATCAGTGTTATAAACTTGGACTGATATTTCTTAGGAAACAAAGGGTTAATATAATGGAATGGAAATGGACCAATCACATTTTTTCTTCCAATGGTATCTGGGTAAATCAGTGACTCCAGCACTGAACTAAAGAAGTAAGATCAGCTCAGAGCGCACGGCTGGCCCGGCCAGAGCCGGTGCCCGCGGCTGAACCCGCGGCTGAGTCCGCGGCCAGAGCCGGAGCCCGCGACCAGAGTCCGCGGCCGAAGCCGGAGCCTGCGGCCGAACCCGCGGCCGGGCCCGCGACTCGCGGAGGCTCGGGCACGTTGCATCTCACGTGGTCAGAAAAAAGTGAAAAAAGTGTCAAGAAAAGACGTCAAACTTAAAGAAACGCTCGCGGTGGACTTTTTCCAAAATAAAAGCCAGTGAGAAATAGACTTTTACAATAAAATAAATAAATAAATAATAAAAACTGCGTTAACGGCGTTAAAATAATTGTCGGCGTTAATGACTTAATTAGTTAACGCAAAGTTAACGCGTTAACGTGCCCAACCCTAATCAAAATATGTTCTACCTGAAAAAACATTATATGCAACTAAATGTTATCACAAAATGTAACTACAAAGTTGAATGCATGTATGATGGATATGGCCTTGAAGTGCACTTAAGGCCGGGATGCGACTGACTGTTTTAATACCCTAAGTTGAAACAGCCCCAACAGCCCTAAATCTGTTTAAACAGTAGTAGATCCATTACACATCCTATGGTTGCTGGTTCAAGTCCTGTCTCTGGCATTTTGAAACTGTCACTCTGTACTGAAACCATTGCATCTAGTCAACTTTTTATTGCAATTGGCTGAAACCCATGTGTGTATGACTTAACTGTGGAAAAATTCTCTGATTATGTGGCAACAATGAAAATATGTACAGTATGTCTTTTAAGTCAGAGAGAATGACACTGAATCAAAGAGGAAGACTGAGGAAAAATGTGGCGAATAATCCTGCTTTGTTTCTTCATGTGGTTAAATGTATTGTTTCATTTCCCTATTCTAGGCCCCTGTGTCTCGCCAAGAATTAGAGTACTTATGTACCCACCACATCAAACAGCTGTGTCAAAAGAGCTTTTTCTCCCCCAAATCTACCCAGATACTGACTGGATACAGCTCATGTATTTTAGCACCAGTTTGATAGATACATTGTGTAAAAGAGATGACCATTTTAATTGTATTGTTCACAAATGCAGTGATAATTTGAAACTAACTTACTTGTTGCATGGAGGAAGTGGGGTTTCCAGTGTTACAGTTTGGTGAGATGTGAAGAGTAGCAGACACAGAGGCTCCACTATTGAACAAGTGTGTGAACTCAAGTTAACTTTGGCCAT